AATAATATATAAATAATAATAATAATAATGATAATATTAACTAAAAATATACTAAAAAGAAAGAAGCAGAAATTCAATGATAAATATGATGATGATAGTTTTTCAATACATAACCTAATAAAACCAAACACTTCAACAACAATACAGCCACCGAAAATGATGAAAAAGGGCACACCGAGAGAATTTATTGACACTGCAACCAACACAGATACAATCGCCACAGAAACCAGACAGACTGACGAAAAGTTATACAATGATGCAAATCAGCAATTAAATATGACATTTGAAGCGTTTAAGGTAAAGGAAAACCAAGACAATATGTTTAAAATAATGCTTAAAAACTTTTGGCACAACACACACAAGAGAAATGAACCAACAAGAACACAAGCAACACAAACACTGAAAAACCAACGCGACGCGATGGTGTCAGCCTTTACTAAAATGCTCGACAACAACAAACCGCCAGAACCACCGCCAAAGAAACCACCAGATGAGGATGACAGCGATGAAGAAGAAAAGAAGTTCAAACTGACAAAAATGATAGAAATAATGCTACACAACGGCGCTACAGTAGCAGATATCATATTAAACTTATCGCACAGCGCAATTGCAACAACTATAAATATCGCAGATTTAGTCAATCAAATAACAGCAGGAAATGCACAAGCTAGCAGTAGTTCTTCTAATGAAATTATTAGTGTTCATAGTTCTCCACCTGTTACTGTCCATAGTTCTTCATCTGAAAGTCCAACAGAAATACCAGCACCAACTGAAGACGAAGAAGAAGAAGAAAACCAACATTTCAATTTTGAAAAATTAAAATCTAAATAATATTATATATAATGGGTATTGGTCAAAGTAAAAATAATGAAAATAATAGTTTGGAAGACATTAAGAATTTAAGTATAGATGAAAAAACACGAGCAGACACTTTAATTATTAAATCTCTTCAAGAATGTGTGACACGAATTGAAAAACTAGAGAAAGAAAAATCTGACAAATTAATATATAAACTTCCTGCTTTACAATTTTGCAATGCTTCGTTAATTTAAATTAATAATATTAACATATAATAATATTATTAATTGCTATCATAATCTGTCATTTTATCCTCTGGTATTGTTGTTGAAGTAGTACTACTTATATCATCTATTAAATCTTCTTCATCAACAAAATTATTTTGAAATCTTAATAATTCCTCGTCTGTTGGTCGTCTTTTTAACACTTTATAAAGTTTATGTATCCAAGAATTAGTATGAAAGTTATAATTACCTCTACGATAAAATCCACCACATCTACATAGTTTCATTGACATATTATTATATTATATTAAATTAGAATATCTTTATTCATCATTCGTAATTTGAAACGCCTGTTCAAATCTGATATGAAACATTTTGTTAATGTCTTTAGCATTCATATTCACGTAGAAGAAACTATAAGGTGCGTCATTAACGGCTTGATGATACATATCTAATAATTGCTGTTTATCAACAATGGCGCTATTTTCTTCAATAAAACTCATTAACTCACTTGCATTTTTCAACCTAAAAATATATAATGAACTGGCATTTAAACGAATGATAGGCGCTAAAACATTATATTTTTGTGTTGAACAAATTACACTTACTGCATCGTGCCTACCTCTTGTAAATAATCCATGTAATAATTTACTATATCTAACAAATTTAGGATCGTCTGCGTGGTCATCTATAACGATTAATATTGAATGCAGTTTCTTTATCTTTTTAGATTTCATATAATTAATTATTTTCTTCTGTCTTTCAATTACATTTTCCAAATCACTTGGGTTATAATTATCAAAATATATTTGTTCTTTTTCATCATCCACGTGCAATTCATCCCTGATGTATTTTTTAACTTCTGTAAAAGTTGGGTCATTATGAACGCTGGGGGAAAATATAAATATTCTTGCAAATGAATTTCTATAAACATTTAAAATAAGATTCTGAACTAAAACTGTTTTGCCTCCCGTCGAACTCGCAACTATAATACTTCTAAATGGTAATTTTGGCACGTGCTCATATTTGGATTGATTGAATTCATATTCAGTTATGTTTATTGGTTTTATTATTGGGACATCTGTCATAGTTGATATTAAAGAAATATAGAAAATTAGATTTAAAAATTAACTTGTAATTAATATTAAATGGAACATCATTATGTTATGAGTGGCGGTGAATAACATAATGGAACAGGTTTTCCATTGCTTCAATCAATAAGCATTGAAGATAATTAGTTTTGTGTCTTGCTCGCGTGTGCAATGAAAACCCAAGTGCTGTGCCCCACCAATATTCTATTATGCATGAAAATAATAAGATTAATTAGAATAATTTATCTTATTATTTAATATGGATAGAAGTTATTCAGATTATATTGATATAATAGATGAAGTAGAGAATATAGAACAAGTAATAATAACTGACAATAAAATTAAGAAATGCTGTTATTATACATTAGAATTAATAAAATTAGGAATACAATATATCAAAAATAAAAATGTAAATATTAATATAAATGGGAAAAAAGAAAAACAAAAAGAATAAAACGGATACTACAGTTTCTTCAACAGATGAAGACAAAGAAGAAGAAATTGTTAAGGAAACAGCACTAACCGAGTTTGAGTGTCCTATGTGTAAAAAGATGTTAGAAATGAAAAATGAAATAGAAATACAAAAGAAAGGAAATTGTAAATGTTCGTGTATTCCGACAAATTTCAAATTGAGTAAAAACGATAAGAAAATGAATATTGATAAAACCAAAGACAGTATAAATCTGGAAACGGATGTTCATAATATAACTTTTAAATGGGGGAGGCATGCGTCGCCATCCGATAATGGTGATAACGAAGCACAGGAAACTATTAAACAAATGATGAAAATTTAGTACTGAAAGAGTAGATTTTACATTAAATCAATTTTATAAATAAATAAATATTTAAATAAATAATTATATAAATAAATATATATAGAAATGTCTGAAGTTGAAAATGATGTTATTGTTGAACTATCAAAGAAGATAATGACAGTTAGTAAAAATGTTAAACTGTTGTACGAGATGATAAAAACTATTGACCAGAAACTTGATGCAAAGGCAAACGAACCAAAAAATAACAATGAAGAGAAGGAAAAGATTGATAAGATCTTTGAAAAGAAAGGGATAGGCAGACCCAGCGGTGATTATGACACGAAGCGTAAAAAATATTGCGATATGTTAAATAAGGGGCAAATCAAAAGTCCAAAAGAACAAACATTAGAATATTATAAAATAATTAAGGGCGATGATGGTAAATATGTAATTGTTGAAAATTAAAATATAAATAATTCTAATAATATGAATTTATTAGAACTATTTTCAGGCAGTGGTTCTGTTTGTAAAATTGCACGGGATTTAAGTTTTAATGATGATAATCCAATTTTAGCAATTATAATTTAATTATGCTATTTTAATTATAATTTTATTTTATTAATTTAATTTTAATTTATTAATTTAATTTTAATTTATTAATTTAATTTTAATTTATTAATTTAATTTTAATTTATTAATTTAATTTTAATTTATTAATTTAATTTTAATTTATTAATTTAATTTCTTGTAAAAAGTACTTAAAGAAATATTAATTATATATATTATCATACAAATGGTTGTATTTACAGAGGTTGAACAGGAAGAAATTATCAATGAATTCTTAACTTATATTGAACAACAGGAAACTAAAATAATTGATTATTTTTTGAGTGATAATGATAATAAAACAGAAGAAGAAGAAGAAGAAGAAGATGACAGTTACGGATTTGTAACTGAAAAACGGTTAGAAAAGGAAGTTACAGAACATCATAAAATGATAAACAATATTGAAACGAAAAATTACATCCCATTAAAACATGCAATGATAAAATATATGGAACAAACCAACAACCAACGAATAATTAGAAATGCTGGAAACTATTCATACAGTCAAAAGACATCCAATTGGTGGTATTTAAGCTTTAGAGAATTTGAATGGTTAATCGAAATAAAAAAGAATGGCAACAAATGGATTTGTAGCAAAGAAAAATTAGATGCAGTTGATTTTAACATATTGTATAAATATAAAATGTTTGAAAGAAGATTTGAATAATTATAAAAAACGAATGAACATAACCTTGCCCATACTATGTCTACAAAAATTGTGATAACATTTATTGTAAAATAATTTATCATAATTTTTGGAATAATATTTTTTGAAAATTTTGTAAAATTATATTTTGTAAAATTATATTATTATTATTTTAAAATTTATATTTATTGAAAATTTATTTTGTAAAATTTTGTAAAATTTATTTTTTAAAATTTATTTGTTTTTTTTGGTAAAAATTATTTTTTTAAAATTTATTTTTTAATTTTTTTTTTTATTTTTTTTTTATTTTTTTTTTTTTTTTTTTTTTTTTTAAAAAAAAATATATATTTTAAAATATGGATGAACTTACTAGGAAATTACCTGCTTTAAAATGTTGATTTTTGAAAATGTGCTTTTTGAGGTGCTGTTTTAAAATGTTGCTAAAAGTGTGGGGGGGACCCTAGGTTTTTTTATAGAAAAAAGATGGGCAAGGTCTGGTCTAACTCTTAAGGGGTCAAGGGTTCATTTTGCCGGAAAATGAAGGGCCCTTCCTTCACGGGTCTTCACTGGGGGTTGGGTTCCTGTGTTTCAGGAGAACCTGAGCTCGTTTTACCCAACTGGTGAGCTCAAATTTGCCACCAGATAGCGCCCTGAAGAATCGGGACGTCAGAAGGGGGCGTGTCCTTAAACAGAGCCATTTGATCAAAGTGCCCAAGAGAAGCCAATCATCCAAACCGGTCCCGTAACGCAGCCTGGACGCCTAGATGAAATTGGAACCAAATGAGAGTCAATCAGACCACCACGAAAGCAAACAAGGCAAACCAGACAAACCAGACAAACCAAACACGCAACCTCAAGCAGACTCACACGCGTTCCCGGCCTTGGAGAGCTGATGGTCGTTCCTCCTAGCGCGGCCATTCCGCAGCAGTGAGCCCATGCACCGCAGCAACAGCGTCCTGGGCTTCGAAGGAGCCAAGGCCAATGCCGCGCAAACGCGGCGCCTCCCCACCCAACGCCCCACGAAAAAACCAGAAGGGCTCGCCCCTGGTTGTAGACTTCCTTCCCTGTACGAAGGGACACACATATATGACCTGGGGGGCCTACCAAAAAAAGCCCTGGAAGTGGGCTTCCCTCCTGGCTTTTTTGCCTCACAGTGCGAAGGGGAGCCCATCCCATTCATGACGGTATGGACTAAAACAAACTCGGGCCAGGGCAAAACCCAGGGAAGCAACTCTGCTTGATCCGCGGTCTTCCGAAGTGAGTGAACTGGGCATCAATCCCGAGTTACACAGCATGCCCTGAAGATGAAAGACAACATCGCTTTCTAGACAGCCCCTAAAAAGGCAACACGAAGGCTCCGCATCCCCACCGACTGCGAAATCATGGCAAGGTTCACCAAAAGGGCCCGGGGGGATTTAGCCAAGAATTGGTTTGAACTTGCCGTGCTGCTCAAAGAACCCCTTCGGTGACACGCCAATGGCCGCTTGGCCAATCGACCAGTGCCACTGAAAAGCTCAGTTGGGCACCCCAAGAAGTTTAGCCCATACCGCCCTGGCAAGAATCTCCTGAAGCGCTATGCGCATGGGTGTGAGTTGGTACTCATTTTCCTGGTGGTAAGGAAAAGCAAAGGGGAGCCCATCATTTTCTTTGTGGGGGCCAAGCCCAAACCCTGGGCCCGGGTGCCCAACCGAGACCCACTTGAGGGGTTCGGAGGGCCCCCACAAACCCCCCGGACTTGCGATCTATCGTCGAAATGTGCCCCGGGTAAAAACATTATCAACACCATGGGCAGCGTATCTACGCCTTGACTCATGATGTGGACGCCCTATTGAGGGACGGCTCCACCTAGAAAGCAGGAGCCTGCACGGCTCCCCTTGCGAAAAAATGGGGGGGGGGGGTTGTTGGTCATGCTAAAAATACCGGTCGATTCCTCAAGGCCTTTACTAAACACGAACAGAGCTTTCGCAATGGAATTCCTCATCTTTCACCTGAGGTTGCCCAATTCCCACACCGGCCACCCGCCCCCATCAAAAAAAAACTCCGATCCGGGGCCCGCGCGGGCTCACCACCCGCATGGGAAAGGACTCGCGGAACCTGAGGTCGCATCGCTTTGTGCGCCAGTGTGGCACTTGGGTCTCCATGACCCCTGGGACATGGGGAAGTGCACGCATAATTTTGGGTTCATAAGGCTCGAGTCATGAAGATGCTTGGGCTGGCCTCAGATGTCAGCCTAAAAGATTAACTTTTAGTGGTGTAAATGGAAACCCCAAATTTCAGGCACCATTACTTCGGCATCTCTTTCGCGTTTCAGCTTGGGCGTTTCAGTCGAAAAATATATCCCGGCCTTTTGAGGGGGGGTTCAGGGTCTGTCCCTTTTTCTCCCGCGAGAGGGGAAATTAAACTGTAGATGTACAAAAAGAAACTCCAGGCCAGCTCCGTATCGCCAAAAAGATCTGCGCGTCTGGGGGCGTGCCCAAACCATAAATTTCACCAACAAACTGGGGAGTGAACCAACCAGTCCACCAACATTGTAACAAACATCATACTGACCTGCGCGGTAACCCTTTCCAGAATTAATTTTTAAAATGGGTGGGTGTGTGAGCCAGATCATCGTTGGTGGGGGGGTATCCAAGATGAGCAAGGCTGACCTTCTGGCTGCCTTCTTTCCAACCATCATGGAGGCTGATGGTTTTGGAAGACAGTCCATGGTTGTTTTGATAGACGGTCGGAAAATTCAGCAGAATAGCCGCCCCCCCCCACCCCCAACCCCAACCCCCCTCCCCCACCCCTTCTGCAAATCAACAAGAACAAACTTCCCCGATCCCTCACACGAACGCCCCTTTGCAAGACGACCAATTCTCAGGCTGGGTTAATTCTTTTGAGAACAGGCTTCCACCCCAAAACGCAAAGTGCCACTGCTGGGTACTTTGTTGGCTCCATGCTTGGAAAAGGGGAGCCCGCCTTTCCCCAGCCTGGTGACCCAAACGGTACTTTTGAACAAGGGGCCACTTGTGTGTTCTTGTTTTTTGGTCGGGGGCGAACCATGTTTAGTGGGTTTCCCAAGCGAAACAGAAGGCAAAAGCCAGGTATAGGTCAAGGGCGCTATTTCTCAGGTCTCCGAATTGTCCTGTCCTGCGCCCCAAGAACGACCTTTCTTGAGACTCTCCGGAGGCTGCCTGAGCCAAAACAAAACGACCAAAGTTCCTTTTTGGACCCGAGGGAAATGTTTGGGTTGAACTCGCAGCCACAAAATGGAATTCTGCCAAATCTCTTTGCGAGAATCGCGGCATAAGGGGCCACGAGTTTCACCCCATACGAGAGATTGGGCCGCTGATCTGAGGGTGTGGTTAGATGTGCTTAGTTTTTTTAAGGGATTGCGAGGAGCTCACCAAAGGGAAGCACTGATTCTGAACAACCCAAATCAGGGACCCAAAACAAGACTGTGATTTTGCACCAAACAAGAAGGCTGGGCTTTTTGCGGTGCCATCTTCCCCCAAAAACGGGGTCGGACCCGACGGCCATGCTATCCGAGGAGCTCCATGCAGCTGAGACCATGGCCCCAAGCCAAGGAGGAGGAGATGCCAGGCACGTCTGGACCCGAAAATGCTTCCCGGGGGGGGGGGTGTGGGAGCTTCCAGGCACTTTTGAGGTTTCTGTGGCTGTCTTTGTTTGGCTTTGTTTTTCTTGTTTTTCTTCTTTGTTATTTTCTTTTTGGGGGGGGGGGGGGGGGCAAGTTTCTTGTGGCGCGAGGGGGGGGGCTGCCGACTTCTAACACCAAGGAGTGCAAGTACCGTTAGAAGGGTGTTTAAACGAGAATGATATTGAAAGAACATGATCTTTTTATCTGCTAGGAAACAGCCCCCCCTTTTTGTTGGGCAGGGCCGGAATTCCTCCTACTTAGACTAGACAAATCATTTAGATAGATCTATACATATGTGTACATGCTATCCATACATGTGAATATTTGTTCATATCTGGTGTCATCCGTTTATTGGTATACAAGAAGAAACAAGTTAATACTGTACACTTGGGGCACGTCGAAGGGGAGCGTAGCTATTTCCCTTGACTTCTATGATGCCACAGTGGGCCATCCCCACAACTGCTTTGTTTCTCAACAAGGGGTTGCTGGCCATTCGAAAAGTGGTGGCAAGCTAAAGCCCGAATTCCACAACCCAGCAGAAAGCTGGGACCTGTGCGCGACAAGCGAAAACTGGACAAGGGAACGTGCCGCGTGGCAACGAACACGCGAAATAGTGGGGGAGAGAGAGGGAGAGGGAGAGACAAAAACGCCAGGGCAGGGCGTTTTTGTAACTTTCTAAGGCGAAAGTGGGAAAAGTGTACGGGGAGAGGGGAGGCAAGCTGGAGAAGACCGGACACATGACTGGCTCAGTGCCTTTTGGACTTGAGTTGACTGGCCAAAATATTCTCGCAAGCAAGTCAGCTTTCCTCAGTTCTGCAGGCATCGCATGTCTCCCCGTCCCTTTGCCCACGAAATGTTCCCCGTGCGAAGCGGCGACTGAACTTTTGGATTCAAAGGTTCAAGGCTGCACGCCTGGATCTGACTGCCTAATGCCGCGGGTCACGGAGAGCTTCCGGATTTGCACCCGGCAGAAGGCTGGAAACATATGGACACCTGTCCCCCTCTGCAATCGGAAACTGCATGATTTTCTGCCATCGTGATGTTGACCCCACAAATGCCATATTAATACACTGGGGGTGTTCCCCGTTCCCCTCCAAAAGTGATAAATCCTAACTCAAACCAGAAACTCCCATTTTAATAAACAGGGGTTTATTAATCTGGGGTCAACAATAGTTGAAACTGCCCCTCCCCACACCAAATAAAACGCCACAGCCCTGATTCTGGTCCGCCCTCTGTTCCACCCCGGCGCTTCTGTTTTCTTGAGGCCCCCAACCTCCCCAATGCGAAGCCCCCAGCCCGCACAAACGCCGCGTAGAACAAATCAAACTTCAACGTAGAAGTACAGAGCTGGCTGGCTGACCTAGAAGCCACCAGATAAGAGGAATGTCCTCAAGCGGAGGCATCTGCCATGGAACAGCTTGGAGGGTTGTCATTCACCTGGGCCCTCCTATCCCCACGAAGCCGGCGAGTAGAAGCGCTTGCTGACTGAGCTCAGCAGGGCTCCTACTCGTTGGAGGTCTCACATATGAGTCACAAGCAAAACCCGGTATCAAAATGGTCGTAATCCCAGAACCATGCTTCAAGAATTCAGAAGGCGGAATTCCGAGCCATTTCTGGCTGGGCAATCCCCCCTCACTAACCGGATCATCCAATCCCAATGAAATTTGAGCACGCTCATATGCTGACAGCGACGCGGGCAAGCAGCGGCGTCCATCGGTCCGATCGGTCCAACTTGCCCCTTTGGACGGGCTTGCAGGTCACAAGGTGCACTGGGCCAAGTTCGGGAACCTGAGAAAAAGGTGCTGCTAAAGAACATCCTTTTCCACCTTTGAAATGGTCTATGGAAATACACGCCAGTTCTTCAATACCTTTCTGTTTCTCTTGCCCCCGCTTACTTATGTCACCCTTTAAATCCTTCCAAAACAAAATGAAGATGGTTCACCCCAGCCCCCCCCATTCCCCCCTTTTGTGTTGCTTGTTGGTACAAAAGCCAAACAAACACTTGTGACACAAGCCAGGATCCCTCCCTTCAATCATCCAACACATCCGCCTTCAGACTTCGGGCTGACGGAGTTGTGGTAGGGCAAGGACGGCATGGAAAGCATCGAGCCGTCCATGGCGTCCATGGGCAAGTCGTTGCTGCAGCACGAGCCCCGCGGGCTGTGGTCCATGGACAGCTGGCACACGCTCGCAAATCGCCGAAAGGGCCTTGATCTTTTGGCCTCAAATATACAAGCTGGGTCCTCCAGTAGAGAGGTTGGAATAAGGCTACCCTTTTTTCTGTAGTCTATTTCAGTAGGGGAACCCTCCCCCAAAAAGGGGTAAAAGGGCACTACCTAGAAAGCCTGCTAACCAACAGAACGCTGACTGAAGGGCTTGCCCTCCCGCCAACTAGCGTGAAACCCGACTGGAGGCAACGGAAAGAGCATGTTCCTTTTCATCGGGCCTTCTGGCGAGTTGCATGCTGGTTGACAGTTGGGTGCATGTTTGTTTCCCCACGTAGCTGAAAGCTATTATGCTCTCTTGGCGCCATCTCCTGGAAGCTATTGGGGTTCTATTTCTGGGAGAAGAGAGGGTGATTCTCGATTTGGAGACCAGATTTATGGGAGGGCAGGGGGTGGAAGTTTTGTGGTAGGCACAAGTGGTGCAAGCGCGGGTGTCGGCCCAGACCAATACAATTACTACACCAACCCCCCGTTGCCCCCACTCAATCCAACCAGGTCCTTAGAGAGGAGAATTCTGTGGGGGCCTTCCATGGAAACATGGCTTGGAGGGTCCCGCCCTTGCGGCCAGGATAAGCGGCGAAAGCAGATACTGAGGGCTCACATCCAACCAAAACACCCAGAGCAAACTCAGTCGCCTTTCCAAAACGTAGATGCAAAAAGCAAAAGGGAGGTCTAGTTGGAGTCTTGGATAAACCGTCTTCTAGAAATGGCTCGCAAACGTGCTTGGGAAACGATCCAACTGAGTAAGGGGAACCCTGGATTGATCAACCCCTGGTAAATTGAAACATTGACAAACACCCCTACGAGCTTGATTCCGGGGTCGACACGGCCCGCCCCACCTGAATCTTCACCGCATGCTCTTGCGGCACAGGTTCCGAGGGCGACCCGTCCGGGGACGCGCGGCGTCGCCCAAACTCCGTGGACTCTATGGCGCTCATGCATCCGGCCCAGCTTGCAGACCCCGAGGACGGGCGCAGCTGACTCGCAACTCTTGGTGTGACTGTCAATGCCGCGCTTGCTAACCCAAAGGCGCACCTAAAGATGTATCCAAAGGTTGGCACAAAGGGGTCAAGCCCTGCCCATGCAGGCTCCCTTCTTAAACCTGCGCTGACTTTGCCCCTTTGCCCTGCGCGACACTGGAGCCGAAAGTGGCAGTTAGGTAGGTTCCACATGGATCCAACCCACCAACAGTGCACAAGTTGCAAAAGGAGGGCAGAACACGCCCCAGTCCAAGTCCACGAGGTAAACAATGCGGCAAAATGCCTCAAGTGCCGTGCACCTTGCCTGCTTGTCTTGCAGTTAAACCTGTTTTGCGCGCCTTGCGATGAGCCACTGCGTGCTATTTGACAGGTTACTCATGGTGTTGCAAAAGTTAAATTCTACAAAGCCAGTTCAACCTCAACGTGTCTTGACTCGAGGCAAAGGCAGTGTGAACATAGCGGTCCGTGGTGTACGCCAAAGTAGCGTGAAATAACCGTGATAATATCGTGAAATTGGTGTGAAAGCACCGGTGTATCTATGTAACGCATTGTCTTGCAATGGAGGTCACGCCTGCTGCAGACTTTGGTCCTGAATAAGTGTGGCGCCTGAATTGTGCCATAGTCTTGGACAAAGATGCGCCTTGAACAAACGCCTCTGGCCTTTCACGGAAAGCACGAAAAATAAACACCTTTTTGAACCCCAGGGCTGGGCGAAAAAATGCGATGGAAGTCTCGCGCGCATGCAACCCTTTCAGTGGACGCTTGATCGGCTCTGGACATGGATTTCTGTGGGGATCGATTCCAAACTGCCGGGCAGCTCTGACTCGGAAAATCCCCATCGAGCGACCGACAAAGTCGTGCCCTTGGTCAACCTCTCCAATGAACCCGGACCCTCCTATGGACAACCCTGCCAAACAGCCGAGCCGTTGGACTCGTCCAATCAGGAGCCCTGAGGTAGTTTGATTGAAGGAACTCGCCGCTTTCAAAGCGCGGCTCCGGGGCAACCAAGCCGGTCTCAACACAGGCCACTTCAAATCAGTAAAATCCAAACCCTGAAACGTGACATGCGAACAGCCACCAGCTGGTGGCCCTTCCGTGTCGTAAGCTCACTTGCCAGGAGGAAACTGAAGGTCAGACTTTAACCTGGACTAAAGCACCAGCCGAAAACGAAACGTCAAAAGGTCGTCCTGGGTTGAGGAACAAGCACTAGGCACCCTTAGTCTTCCAAAACCCTCCTGTGAGCTTCATGATTGTTGCAGGGAGGGTACTTTATAAAGTCAAAAAACAGGAACCTGCCTCTGACTTGTTGCAGGGAATCCATGATTGCTTCTCCATGATTTTCGCAGGGAATCCCCCTCCGAAAACAAAAGCCGAAAAAAAGAGAGACATGGTCCCCTCCGGAAGTCTGTGGCGCCGCCAAGAGCCCAAGCCGCCAAACACCCCCGGGCCTGAGGTGCACAGCTCGGGCACGCATCCAGGCACCAGCCCCGACAGCTGCACGGACCCAGCGCTCAGCGTGCAGGTCCAGTCCTGCACACATCCCTTCCCGCAAGTACCGCAAGGGCCTGGGTGCCAACATACGCGGCGCCAGACTGTTTGGTTAACAATTGGTGGATGCTTTGATTAGTTGTTGCTGATGCTTTGGATGAAATCGTGTTGTGATCGTTTGGTTGGTTATACTATACGGATTCTGAAAGATGAACCAAAAAAAGGGGAACTTTACAATAGTTTTCCCCCACCACGAAACCCAGGTGTTACGATTGAACCAAATCCGTCATGTGAGAATCATGGTTCTAGCTGTTGAAGTAAGGCGCAAGGCCCTCCCAGGCGTGGCTTTCCGGAGAAACGGCAGTCATGGCAGCGTCTTCGGAACTTTGGCTTGGGGGAGGGGCCAGGTACACCATCTCAAAGGGTCCCAAGTTCGAGCCCCGCTGACTGTCTCCTTTCAAAGGGGGCCTTTGAGAAACGGCTTCGAAAAATGCTCAAATTTTGTCCACTTGAACCGTGGCGCCAGTGCCCGGATCCTGTCAGGAGACAGGAATCCTGGTACTGGATGGCCAGTTGTTTAGGGGATGCCCATGGTTCGAACCTTAAGCCTACCAACTTGCAGCAAAAGCTCTTTCATCTCATCTGCAGCTTGTAACTTGGCCGGGTGGGTTCCTCATCATCCTTGTGAAGCGCCCAATCTGCCCATTTGTCTGGCCAGCTATCTCAGAAGGGTCGTGGAAACGCCAAAAAAACTGCGTGTGTGGCACAGATTTGAGAGGGAAATACCAGGGGTACCCACAGGTACGAGACCTGGACCCTTCAAGTTGCGTTGCCTGACGCCTAGAGGTCCTGGACGCATCATGGAATTGGATAGTTTAATCGCAGTAGCGAGCTTGTCCCAAGTGAAGAGAAGGTTACTTGATGATTCCGCTATTCAGAATTAATCCTTGTAAATGCTGTGTTCCTTCTTAGGGATATCAAGCTTTTGAGGAGGTGCGTGGACACAGTGGGTAAAATCAAACCAAAAGGACAACTCAAAGGGTGGTTGATTCCTAGGGATGGACGCAGATACAATCCAATTCAGCAATTAAGCTGTTTTTTGCTTAATGCAAAAAGGAGCCAACGCGTGGTTTGCATACTCCTAGCAATTTCAGAGGCGGGATATTTGCATCGCAAAGCCGCCCAAACGCACACCTCCTCCAGAAATATTATCTTGAGAAAAGGAAAACCTTTTGTTGAGCCTGGCCATTCTAAAAATGGAGAACCCGCCGAACAGGGAAACTTGTTGCCTTGACTTCACATGGGCCAGTTAAAAGTCAGCCAATTCGCCTCGACGTGCAGCTGCACTTGTGCACCTGCTGTTCTCCTAATGCCACACAGCGCCTGGGAAAAAAAAAAGCCAAGCTGGTGGACCATGTAGGTGCCCAGTTGCCAACTAGGAACAGTCCGCCCAGAAACAAGGAAGTCACCAGAAGGCTTTGAGGATTCATGCCGGCTGGGAGGCGGTCGCGCGCCCAAGCTGAGGGTGTTTTTTGTCCCTCGACTCATCCGCCTGGATGGTGCTGTTCTCCAGCCGGTTTGTGCAGCAAACTGTGGACTGCTGGTCCTGTCTGATGAAAACAGCTCACGGCTTTCCTGTTTCAAAAGGGACTCTTCCCAAACATTTGGGCGGTTGAGAAACATAGGTCCCTTTAGTGGCGCTTGTGATCAACCTGGGATATCCTGAAATCATGTGTCGCGTGAGCTTGATGCACGTCCTTTACTTTGGGATCTCCTATCTCGGGTTTTGGCTGTTTGTTGCATCAATTTGCTTAAGAATAGTTTTCCCCTTGCTGTTTCTAAAGGGAATCCATCACTCCCGGACATGTTTTTCAGTGGGCTTAAGCCAATGGAAGGTTAGAATTCGCATAGGTCTTTGAGGGAGTCGCACGGATTCATCAGGACCCCACGATTCAGAATTCCCCGACGAAATGGGGACGCGCTGGGTCCCAATCAAACCAGCGCTCGCCATCTGCCAGCCACGGTGGCCCTGAGATACTGCGACCATTGTCCCAAAAGCCCAAGGCAAGGACCTCGTAATCCTCTTTGGGCAAGCTGACTAAACCGAAACGGGGAGATTGTGCCAGACTAAACGGGACATCTGAGTAGCCCTGTGTCTAGGTCCTCCAGTAGAGAGGTTAGAATAAGGGTACCCTTTTTTCTGTAGTCTATTTTAGTAGGGGAACCCTCCCTACTAAAAAGGGTACAAGGGCACTACTGGGAAACCTAGTTGTAGATTCCATTTGAGCCAAAACTCCCCGGCGCACAGAAGGCAGTGCAGCCGCTGCCGTAGGATACATCCTGCGGGAAGAGAGGAATGCCCCGCCCCCCTCCCCCCCCCACCATTTTTTCCGTGTTACTTGCGCATTGGGTGCGTCTGGAAAGACTTAAACAAACACATCCCCATCTCCCGTTGATGTCCCTTCGGGATTTTTGTTTATAACCCTTGGCTAGTTTGCACCCAGGCCAGTTGAGTTGGAGAAACCCTGTGAATGGGCATGAGACTGCATGATTGATCCTTCCAACATGTTTCTTTTGATTTTGCCCCCGGCTGCACCCCTGATCAGATTGCGACTGGCAAACGGCCCAAACAAATGAGGCGAATTGGAATACCGAAGGTCGATACTCCTATGGTGGGCTGGAACTCCAAAAGCGGATGAACTGTCAACATGAATCCCGTCAACAACACACGCAGTCGGGGTTTTCGGGGGATGTGACCTTCCCAAAGAACGCTGCTTCAGCCAGAGGCAACAGAAACGTAAAGTCGCAACCCTTGAGAACCAAAAGCCAGGCCTTCCGAAACGGAAAGCCTGGGACGATGTCTACAGACTGTGCCTGAACAAAGACCAGGATCAACCTGAACGGGGTCGAAATCAAAGTGACCCAAAAAAGAACGCCTCAAGTCTGAACAGCGTGGGTGAACTGAAAAAAAAAACGCCGAAATGGGTAGGCTGATCTCTAAGCAAGGTGGGTGAACATACATACGAAGCTACAAGAACCCCACAATAGGACGGGGGTTGATGCTAAAGAAAGTGGCTGAAATAACTCAACCACAAAAGGCTGGCTTAGGGGGAAGGGGGTTGATGTCAAACAAAGTGGGTGAAATCAAACAGAGGCAAAAGGAATCCTGAAGAGAGGTTGATGTCTAAAGAGTTGCACACACAACCAACAAAGCAGAAGGAAACCCAAGGAAGCCTCCCTTAGGCCTGTTGATGCTTAGTACTTTTCTTTTTCCCGAGGTCGGGGGCCATTGGAACTGCATTGACCCATCTAAGGGGCCGCTTGGCACATCTTCTGAGCATGACTAAACACATTTTAGTAGTACCCAAAAACATGGAAACCAAAATGGAGCCCCCCAAATGAAGACTCCTCTAAACATGGTGGTTGCTTGGGCTCCATGTTCATCTGGAGTGTGTTTGCGCCTTCTGCGCCAATTCGGGTTGACTTGAACAGTTCCCCCAAGCTTCACCTGCGTGG